AAAAACCATAATAAAAACAAAGACCCATGATGACGGGTGTAGGAAAGAACATTATTGGAAACCTCTAGAAAAGTTTCCTATAGTTAAATCTCAAAAAACTTTGAACAACAAAAAGTAGTGTGAGTAGTAAATTTATGTGTCAATTGGTCTGGGCCTTGCTACTCAGATATTTGGTCAATATTCATCTAGAAACAATATTCTATATATTCTTGTAAGGCTAGATTTTATACAAACTTAACATTTAATTCATTACACTTTACTAAAACAAATTGTCCCCTGTAATGTAAGTGGGCTTCATCCAATGGGGTGAAGTCCTTAATAGAAAAGAAAAAGTTGCCCTACATTAAGAAAAGGGGAATTCTCAGCCACTCCAGCTATGTTCAAATGCCCTTGCCTCTTGCTACACTTCCACAGTTTACCTCCTCCCCCAGTGCCAAGGAGCAGAGCCTCCACCCCCAGAGTGCCTAGAAGGTGAGCCATGCAGGTGCCAGCAGCACTCCCTCACACTAAAATGAGAAGACACATAAACAAGTCTCAGAACCAGACTTCCAGATCACCTAAGGCAACCCCAAAGGGAAACAAGGTGGAACAATCTGATACTCAACTATCTGGACTCCCTGAACTAGCAACTAAAGAGGATCTGGAAAAAAAAATATGAAATCAGAAATAATTTCTCAGATAACAGCAGAGATTGTGCCCATAGTATAAGACATGATTAATAAATCTAGAGAGGGCATAGATAAAAAAATAGAGGAGCTGAGGGACATGATGGAATCCCAACATAGGAAACAAATGGAATCCATAAAACAGATGCAAACAGATTTCTAGGAGATTAAAAACCCCACTGAATGTTTAAACAGCAGAATGAGCCAATGTGAAGACAGAATTTCAGATATAGAAGATAAGATTGTATTTAGTGAGCAGGAAAATAAAAATTTCTTTAAAATATTAATGCAAAGAAGAATAAGATAAGACTGATCAGAGTCAATGAAGAAACAGAAGAGAGTGCAGATGACATACAAATCTGTTCACAGAAGTGATGGAAGAAAACTTTCCAGTCAGGGGGAAAGAACTTGACATACAGATAAGTGAGGCATATAGGAATCCAACTAGCCTTGATTAAAAAAAAAACAAACCAAACTGAGGCATATAATGCTTAAGATTCCAGAAACCCAACAGAAGAACAAAATTCTACAAGCAGTTAGAGAAAAGAAACAACTCACATACAAAGGACAGCCCATCAGAATTAAAGCAGACTTCTCAACACAAGCCCTCAAGGCAAGAAGACCTTGGAGGGATGTATTCTAAGCCCTAAAGGAAAACGACCTCCAACCCATATTGATGTACCCTGCAAAACTATCTTTCACCGTTGATGGAGAAGTAAGATACTTTCATGTCAAAGAGCACCTTAGGAACTTCTTGAATATCAGACCAGCACTCCAAAAAATTCTAGAAAATATCCTAGGAAAAGACAATGATGATCACAACCCCAGGAAGCCCACCAGAATAAATCCATCAGGCAGAAAAAGAAATTAAACACAAAAGGGCAGAATCCTACAAAAGAAAAAGTCATGACAATGATAAGTCAATACATTTCAGTTAAACCATCAACATTAACAGTCTCAATTCACCAATCAAAAGAAATAGACTGGCAGAATGGGTCAAGAAGTAAGACCCCACAATATGATGTTGACAATAAACATACTTAATTCAAAAAGAAACTCATAGACTGAAAGTTAAAGGGTGGAAAACAATACTCCATGTGACAGGAATCCCCCAAAAAGCAGGAGTAGCCATCATCTTTGCAGATCAAGTGGATTTCAAACCAACACTGATTAAGAGAGTCAAAGAAGGACAATACATTCTTGTAAAGGGAACGACCCAAGAGGAAGAGATGACAATCATAAATATATTCTCACCAAACACTAGTGTGTCCAACTATATAAACAAATACTAATGGACATGAAAAATCATATAAGCACTAATATAATAGTAGTAGGGGACCTCAATACCCCACTGTCAAAAATAGGTCAACTAGACAAAAAATAAGCAACAAAATGCCAGAACTCAATCAAATTCTTGAACAAATGAACTTAACAGATGTTTACAGAGTGTTCCATCCCACAAAATCAGAATACACATTCTTTTCAGCTACACATGGTTCATTCTCCAAAATAGACCACATACTTACTCCTAGGACATGTTTAAGTAAGTGCAAAGGAATTGAAGTTATCCCCTGTATATTATCAGGCCATAATATGATGAAATTGGAGATCAATAGCAAAAGATACCACAAGAATTTCATAAACACATGGAAATTGAACAACACACTTCTGAATAACCAATGGGTCACAGAGGAAATTAAAGAAGACATCAGACAGTTCCTACAATTAAATGACAATGACAACACACCATATTAGAATCCATGGGACACAAGAAAAGCAGTCTTACAAGGGAAATTCATAGCAGTGAATACTCACATTAGGAAAACAGAGTGAGCTCAAAACTGAAATACCTAGGAATCAACATAACAAAAGAAATCAAAGACTTCTTCTCTGAAAACTATAGCACTCTGAAAAGAGATTGAAGATGATATCAGAAAATGAAAAGATATTCTGTGCTCCTGGGTAGGAAGAATCAACACAGTGAAAATGGCCATATTTCCAAAACTGCCATATAGATTCAATAAAATCCAAATTGAAATCCCAGAAGCATACTTCACAGACATGGAGAAAACAATCCAAAAATTCATTTGTAACAAGAAGAGACCTGGATTAGCAAAAGCAATACTGCAATAAAGACAAGGTAGGGAGTATCACCATCCCCACCTTGAAACTATGCTACAAAGCTACTGTGATAAAAACAGCATGGTACTGGCAAAGAAACAGAACTGAGGACCAGTGGAACAGATTAGAAGGTGCAGAAACAACTCCAGACACACTCAGTCACCTCGTTTTAGACAAAGGAGCCAAACACCCTCACTGGAGGGAAGATAGCCTCTTTAATAAATGGTGCTGGAAAAATTGGGTTTCAACCCTTGCCAAAGATTAAAACTAGACCTATATCTCTCATCATGCACTAAATTAAAATCAAAACAGATTAAAGATCTAAATATTAAAACAGAAACACTAAACCAGCTGGAAGAGAGGTTAGGAAGAACTCTTGAAGACATCAGTGTAGGAAAAGATTTTATGAACAAAATCTCAGTTGCCAGTGAGCTAGCACAAGCTATCAACAATTGGGATCTTTTCCTACTAAAAAACTTCTGCACAGCAGGAGAAACCACCAACAGTGTGAAGAGACAATCTACCACTTGGGAAAAAATCTTCACATGCTGTTCCTCAGACAAAGGTCTACTATCTCAAATCTATAAAGAACTTTAAAAAATCAGACCTCCCAAATTTAAAGACCCAGCCCCAAAATGGGCATCTGAAATGAACAGACATTTCTCAGACAAAGAAGTAGAAATAGCAAATAAACATATGACAAAATGTCCAACATCACTGGTCATTGGAGAGATGTAAATGAAAACATCTCTGAGATTCCACCTCACCCCAGAAAGAATGGCTGCTATCATGAAATCAACCAATAACAAATGCTGGTGAGGCTGTGGGGCAAGGGGAAAACTTCTCCACTGCTGGTGGGAGTGTGGACTGTTGCAACCACTGTGGAAATCAGTATGGAGATACCTCAAAGAACTAGGATTGGAAGTCCCATTTGACCCAGCTATTCCCCTGCTGGGTATCTTCCCCAAAGAATTAAAAGAATCATACCACAGTGATATATGTGCACCCTTGTTCATAGCAGCACAATTTGTAATAGCTAAAACTTAGAAGCAGCCCAATTGCCCATCACCTGGAGAATGGATAAAGAAAATGTGTTTTTTTCTATAAAATGGAACACTACTCAGCCATAAAAAATGAGAAATTAGAGACATTTATAGCTAAATGGATGCACATTGTGGTGATACTCTTAAGTGAAATAAATAGGACACACATGTGTAAATACTGAATAGTTTCCCTAGTGTGAGAAACTGAAAGTGTAAATAAGGACTAAAAGGTATAATAGATAATATGAAATAGGAAGAAAAGGGGCAAAGGGTGAACAGAAATGGGAGAGGTAGGGGAAAGGAACGAAGGGAATGAAATTAATATGAGAAAATGAAAAAATGGAAACAAAGTCTTTGTAAATAAGGAGGGATAGTGGGGTTGAAGGGAGGGCAGGGGAATGGGGAAAAATAAGAACCAAGAGAGATTATGTAATGGTGCAAATTTCCAATGATGAATATCATTATTTTGTATACCTAAAATGTACCAAAAAGAAAAAAGAAAAGGAGAATTCTGCCAACAAACTGCCCTTAGGCTCAAACTGCAATGTCAACTCTTCCCTGGTTCCCAATCCTGCTGGCATATCCTCCAGAGTTCATATTTACCAGACTTCTCAATCACACACACACATATAGTCACATCAATCCATATGTACACACACAGTATATACTATAGGAATATGTATTTGCACACACACACACATATAGTTAGAGTTTGAGATAGAGATATGCATTCTATTGATGTGTTTCTCTGGAGAACACTTATAGGTAGCATTGGTTATAATCCCACATATAAAAGTGTTCTTAATTCCCTATTGATATAAATGAATGACTAAATTGTTAGGTCATTGGTATAAAAGAGACAAATCTGTCCTAGAGAAAGGCTTTAAATAATTGACATAGATTGATGTAGACACTCTTCTCCTAAGTAACTGGAGGTTAATCCCCTAACCCTTGCATGCAGATTGTACTCAGTGACTTGCTTCTAAAGACTAGTGAATGAAAAGAGAGAAAAAGAGCAATTTTATTATGGAGAAACCTGACAAATATTACCTGAACTGGGGAACTAAATTAACTTCAATATAAGTCATGTTGATAGCATGTACTGTTAAAATCACTGATGAGAATGACATCTCTCTTTTGTGGTTTTCCTCCTAAAACCTCATAATGCCAGTCTAACTACAAGAAAAAATATCAGATGAACTTCAGAGCTTCCTACCAAACACTGACCAGGACTTCTCAAAACAAGACTACTGAAAACCAGGAACCCCTGAGAAGCTGTAGCAGCCAAGAGGGACCTAAGGAAGCATGATGATTAAATCTGATGTGGGATCCCGGGTGGGACCTTGAGGCAAAAAATAGTACATTTTGGCAAAAGCTAAGAAAATAGGAATAAAGTACAGATTTCAATTAATAAAAATGCATCAATGCAGATTGCTTTTTTCGACAAATGTGCCATAGTATTGTAGGTTGTAGATTGAAGAAACTGCTTGTGGAATGTATGGAAATCCTCTGTACTATCATTAAGACTTTTGTCTATAAATATAAATGAATTTCAAGATAAAAATGTTCAATAAATAATGTAACTAATTTGGAAAAAATATCAATTGCTGCTTTCTTGTGATTAAAAGGTTGAACTTAAAAATATCCATAAAGGAAAAATTGCTCAGGTAAAGGACCCAAATCTTAAGAATATAGAAGTTTTGAGTGTGTATCCAGGCAATCAGGACTGACTTGTGAAATTCAGATCTAAAATAGTAATATGATATTTGCCATGTTTTTCAGATATAAAGACTAATAAAAGTATTTGATTGCCATTTCATAAAATGTATACAAAGTATACCCATTAGTACACTTTCCATGCTTTGTGCTGATGGAGAATCCATTTTTAACCATAGAGCAATTGATTTTCATGAGTGTCGTTTTCATATATTACTGATTTGTATTCTATAAGACCACCATTAAAGGATGGTTTGTTTGAGTGTCACCCACTCTCTCTTTTGCCTTGGACTTTCTGGTTTATTCAAGTTACCAGGGAACAAAAATAGCTGCAGTTTTGGCAGGATCCATTCTTTTCCTATAGGGAATACTCACTATTTAGCAATGAGCATTTTCAAATGCAAATGACCCTCCAAATTAGGGCAGTCCTCCTTCTTAGAGCCACTACTAAACCACCACCTGCCTGTGAGCCTATTCAAAGCCAGTCTACTCGGCCCATATGCATCTCCTCCAGTGTTTTATTTGACAATCTGTTTCAGCTTCACAAGGGAGCTAGCAAATTATGTATTGCTCATTTTGTCAAAGTCATCATTGATGACAATTCCGGCATCAAGAGGCTCATTTTATTCTGCAGATGTTTTTATCAAATAGAAGATAAATCATGGCTTCCCATTTTGTTTTGTGCTGTACTTCTGGGAATAACAGAGGGCACAAATAAAAACCTTTTCATTAATAAAAAAAGAAAGGAACGCACTCAAGAGGATCACCACTGCCTGATTTTCAGATACACAGAGCACACACTGGTAAGAGATTATATTTAGTACCAGTGTAATAGACTTGAGGGAGAAGTGATGGTGTTTAGCGAAGGAGGGGAGGAAGGAGGGGAGATGGAGGTAATCTTAATTTTTTAGATTCATTTTCTCTCATTCCTTTGGGCATATTGACCCCAACTTCACTTAATTTTAATACAGAATTTGAATACTCAGACTGAACAATATTCAGCATAGCATCTCCTAGAAAGAACCATCATAAAGTATTCCTGAAAAAACAACAAAAAAGTCAAACTCCATAGCATGTCTCTCATTGTGACACATTGCCTTGATGTACTCATGGCTAGGATTTTGATGCAGGCACCAAAGTGAATAGCTGTCTCAATTTGGTTTGTAGAAGTCTATTCTCAGATTTGAAAAGGTAAGAGAAGAGCAACAACAGAAACACCAGGTGTATGAATCTGTCTTCACTTCTGCTAGAAGGTGTACGTAGCAGGAGAAAGTAAAGCAGAATTCAAATCAAGATAAATGTTTAATACAGTCATACCATATGCAAGGCACTGTCAGTCTATTAAGATTCCATGCATGCAATTGAAATGGCCAGGCATACTTCACTGCAGTGTCTCCAGTTCCTGTTACAACATGGGAGTCCAATGCTGTTAAATCAGGACCTGGCATAGTAGTTATCAGAAGGGAATGAACAAATATTAAGTAATAATGGTCCTCCATGATATAACTCCCATATTGATCATGTTATAGAAAACTACCAAGAGAAAATATAATCGAGGAAATTCTGTGGAAGATGCTGAGAATCAAGAGAGTGTTAGAGCAATTGGGCATAGAAAAGAAAGCAATTAGTGCAACTCTTCCTTTCCACATATCACCATTGCCAGTGACGTTGATTATATGCAAGATCCCGTAATATTCATGAGTAATACTACTCGATTACAATGAGAAATGCATATTATTATTCATTGCTTTCAAAACCATGTTTTGAGTTATAATTCTGTTTCAGTATGAGATGTGGAGGCTCACAGAGGTCATGGTATTTGCCCAAGGTCACACATACTGCTGGTGCCCTCTAAATGTTGCTGTGGCTCAGGTCATAGAGTTTGCGTTCAAATGGTCTTTGGTTTGACTCCATGCAGTTCAGATTTTGTGATCATAAGAACCTCTGTTTACCAGTATAATTTCTAATTGGTTTGGTTGATATACAGTATATGAAAGCATCAATTTATTTATTTATACATTTCTTCACCATCATCAGGTATTTATTGGAGGTCAACTATGTGCCAAGGACTCTACACAGAAAGGGAGTGTGTGTGTGAGAGGTTTTGCATCAGGGTAGCAACTTTTTTTTGGAGTATTCCTACATATCGACAGGTAATTTCTGTTCTATTCAGTGCCCCTTTCAGACCTTACCCACCTTACCAAGTCTATCCAGGAAACTCCTTGATATTTTGCATCAGTATTGCAGTTTACTATTTAAGGGACAGACTCTTCCTTATTTCCCAATTGTCTCCCATCAAGTCTGAATAAAACATAAGCTGATCAATATATAAAGTATCCATAAAACTGGAGCACTGCAGTGACTATGCATTGATTCTTTTTCCTTCCTTATGATTTAACACTAAAGTTAAGGCAAAAACAACAACAGAAAGAGAAAAAGCAAATAAGATTTTAACAAGCTTTCAATAGACTGACAAAAGGAGATGGGAATCTAGAAACATGAAAATAATAAGCAGTAACTCTGCAAAGAAATACAGCCTGCAAATGGATCCTGAATGAGAAATTTACTTATTTATTGGCATCCTTCAGTTCAGTTTTGCCTTACCCATTTTTTTCCTTCTTGTTTTGAAACCGTTTGGATTTATTGCATCTCCTGGTGTTCTTTTACATTTCTGTTTGTTTGCTTTAAACATCTAGTCTCCTTATTTTAACATCTCTTTATGTAAAGATTTTTTCAGACACTATTTACTCCTTTTCTCCACAAGTAGAAGAAATCATGGAATGAACAGAGTTATTGTTAGTGCACAAATAGCTTAAGACAGATCGTAAAGTCCCTCATGATCAAGGAACTGCATAACGCTGACTAGCTCCAGCAGAGACAGCAAAAATTTTCGTAAGCCAGATGCTTTGCTTTCAGCTCAACCCCATCAAGTAATCCCCACCATGTGAGAATCCCCTGTTACTTCTCTGAAAAGCCTATTGTCTTTCCGACCCTCAGAGAAATTCTGCAGTTTCTGGGGGGTATTTCCCTCTCTTCATTATGTCTACAACTGCATATAACTTCAAATGATGAGGAAATACAACAGATGATAAAATCATGAGGACGCACTACAAAAGATAAACATGGATTATTTTTTACCATCCATAAGCCAATGCAGATACAGAATTTCAAAGCAGCGGATACTAAAGGCTTTTTGAGCAAGGTGCTGCCACATATAATATGAGAACTTAGTTACACTTTTCCTATAAATAGAGGAAGTGAATAAAGCAGTTGTCTTTCCCTACAGAGGAACAGTGGATTACTTAATGAACTATCATTTTAGATATACCATGATTCACATTCCTACAACTTTAATGAAAGAGCTTGTGAACATGACTCAATGTTGTCTTTTAATTTTAATTCACTAATCTCCTTAAAGAATCTCCTCTCTTAGACTCTACAAAAACTCTCCTTAGAGAATGACATGAGGAAAGCTGGTACATTTTCTCCAAGATTTTTTAAAGCTAATGTGTATAATTTCAAATCCTTTATATAAGAACATTTCATTTCTTTCATAGATAGGAATAAATTTTGTCTGAGACATATTTTATGTTGAGAAAAGTCACTTGGATAAATACAAGATGGAGAAAGAAATCACTAACCATGGGGTAATATGCAAAATCAGTGGACCCTCCAACCAGCAACATGGAAGTCAGCCCTATGAAGCACCTGTCCCCCAGGGAGAATACAACCCATGCAGAAAAAAATTGTAGAGCCTAGAATATGAGAAATGATGGTTCTATACACCTGAGAGCTGAGACGATGACACAAGATGGGTTAGTTTCCCAGGCTGTCACAATGAACAACCACAAGCTGGATGGCTCAGAATAACAGAAATCCATTCTCTCACAGGTCTGGAGGCCAGAATTCTGAAATCACAGTGCCAGCAGGGCTGTGATTTCTCTGAAGAGCAGGGGAGGAATCTTCCTTGCCTCTTCCAACTTTGGTTGGTTGCGTGCAGTCACTGGTATTCTTCAGCTGGTGGCTACGTTCCTTCCTCTTCTGCCTCTGTTTCCACATGGATTTCTCCACTTGGAGTTCATATGTCTATCTCTGTCTATCAGGATAGTATTCATATTGGCACTAGAGCATACCTGTGCACAAAAACAGATCTTGCTCCCTGCTTTCACACAACAGTCAACACGGAAGACCTTGGTGACCTCAGAAGGTGTGGAAGAAATCCTCACACTCCAAGCACACAGCTGATGCTGCAGAAGACACCAGCAGGAGGTCCTCTAATTCAATTCAGTGTTGGCACAATTTGACGCTGTAACAGCATCACTTCACATGCCAGTTGCCACCTAAGTTGTTTCACCTGTGCTCTGGTTGACCAACTATAAATCAGGGTTCCTCAACCCCATCCTGAGTTTGATTAATTTACTCAAGCAGCAAACTGGGAGTCCCACAGGACTCACTAAAACACATAGGTTTGTGAGTAGTGGAGAGTCTAAAGCATTCAGAGGAAGAGATATATATAAACCAAGAAGGGGCCCAAAGCTTCCACACCCTGTCTGGGTCACCACCCTACGGGAACCTCTGTGTGTTCAGCTATCGAGAAGCACCATGAACCCTGTCCTCTTGGGGACGTTTCCTTATGGAGGCTTCATTATAGAGACCTGCCTGATGAAATAGCTGGCCCCTGGTGAACAGTTTAACCTTTAATTCCTCTCCCCTCTTAGGAAGATGAGAGGT